AAAAAAAAAAAAAAAGAAGAAGAAGAAGAAAACTAGAAATCATAAAGAGTAAGCTGTCTTCAGTAACGTTTGTTTGGTGGTTGTTAGTATTAGGATTGATAATCTAAGACCTATGGATGTGGTGGAGAAAAATGAAAGTAAATAATTCTGTACATATCTTAGAGAACTAAGATTTGGGGCATAGGAGAAAGGCAATTCAGATGTTAAAGCTTTAAGATTACACATAAATCCTAGAATTCTGAATTGGAATTGAAAGCCTCAGAATGAACTCATATTTCTTCTAAAAATATTTTTGTTAAATGGTCCTACCTCTGTCGTCTGAAAAGGCCTAGCAACATTGAACAAAACAGAAACATCAAACACCTCTACTACCCATGGTGGCCTCTGAATACCATTTGGACCAAAAGGAACAAGGGCTCCTTGGAGAAATGGTTGATTGCAAGACTAGGGAATGGAAGCAAAAGTACAAAGTGGGCCTCAGCTTGGAAAGGAAGCAAAGAAGTTATCAAAGATCTCTAACATAGAGGTTGTGTCAAAAGGACTCAGGTTAAGGTGAACAGGCTGCCACTGGACCCAAATTGAGACAACTTGAAAATTAATATCCATAATAACTGTAGTTAATTGAAGCACAGCAAATACTTTTATTTTATTTTATTTTATTTTTTCAGACAGAGTCTTACTTTGTCACCGTCGGTAGAGTGCTGTGGTGTCATAGCTCACAGCAACCCCAAACTCTTGGGCTCAAGTGATCCTCTTGCCTCAGCCTCCCGAGAAACTGGGACTACAGGTGCCTGCCACAACGCCTGGCCATTTTTGAAGACAGAGTCTCACTCTTGCTCAGGCTGCTTTCCAACTCCTGAGCTCAAGTGATCCATCTGCCTCCATTCCCAAAGTGCGAGGATTACAGGCATGAACCCCTCAACCAGCCCAGCAAATATATTTAAATCCAGGGGTTCATAATGATTTTTAAAACTCATCAATCATCTTGGGTGGATACTAGAAAACTAACTTATTATTTGGAAAATAAAGGGGGTGAAAGTCAACCATTTATTCTACTTTTTCCTTATGAACTATTCTTCAGAGTAACCAAATAGTTCATAAATTTCTATAGAAATAGTCCACATAATAACTGAAGACATGATAGTAAGTTTGAATAGCACCATTTTGCAAATCTTAATAGATTAATAGACCAACAGCTACCAACATGCAGAAAGACAAACAGACATGCCTCCTGATGGAAAAACAAAATACCACCAATATAGTAATTTTGCCCAGAAAATAATGCCCAAATATCTGATCAAGCCTCTAGATTTCAGCCAGTTTACAGGAAATTCATGGGACAGAGGAGCATGTTAACAATACCACAAAGATGCAGTCGGCCACTCCAGACAGCAGGCAGGGGAGTAGAGTGAGGAGAAGGTGGGAAAACTGTCAGGAGCCTAAAGACACATACTAACCAGTCACAACACTTGTTTGGAACATGATTCAAACAAACAAATTTAAAAAATTCTTTTTTTTCTTTTTTTTTTTTTTTTTTTTGAGACAAAGCCTCAAGCTGTCCCCCTGGGTAGAGTGCCATGGCATCACAGCTCACAGCAACCTCCAACTCCTGGGCTCAAGCGAGTCTCCTGCCTCAGCCTCCCAAGTAGCTAGGACCACAGGCGCCCACCACAACGCCCAGCTATTTTTTGGTTGCAGCCGTCATTGTTGTTTGGTGGTCCGGGCTGGGGATTCGAACCTGCCACCTTATGTGTACGTGGCTGGCGCCTTAGCCAGTCGAGCTATAGGCTCGACTGGCTAAGGTGATGAGCCTAAAAAATTCTTAAAGGAGTTGGGTGTGGTGGTTCACATCTATAATCTTAGCACTCTGGAAGGCCAAAGCAGGAGAATTGCTTGAGCTCCAAACCAGCCTGAGCAAAAGCAAGATCCTTTTGCTACCAAAAATAGAAAATATTAGCGGAGGATGGTAGTGAGATTCTATAGTCCCAGCTGGAGCCCAGCTTGGGAAGCTGAGGCAGGAGGATTGCTTGAGCCAAGGAGTTTGAGGTTGCTGTGAGCTAGGCTGAGGCCATGATACTCTAGCCCCAGTAATAAAAAGAGATTCTATTTCAAAAAAAAAAATTCTTAAAGGCATTTGTAGAACAGAGAAATGTGAATGTTGACTGAACAGTAGATGATATTAAGGCACTACTATTTTCTATGGTTTTGTTTTAAAAGTGGAATAATTCCCCTTTAGAGATACATACTAAATATTAACAGGTGTAATGATATCAGTTCTGGGATTTGCTTCAAAATAATCCAGTATGGGAAGTGTGAAGTAGGTGAGGATGTACATGAAATAAAGATAGTTGTGGGTTGATAATTGTTGAAGCTGTGATGGGAATGGAAATTCACTAGACTAGTCTCTCTATTTCAGCAAGTATTAGAAATTCTCAATAATTAAATAATTTCCAAAAATTAAGTGATTCTGTTCACCTGTAGTCCCAGCTACTTGGGAGGTGGAGGCAGGAGACTCATTTGAACCCAGGGGTTGGAGGTTGCTGTGAGCTGTGATGCCACAGCACTCTACCCGGGGCCACAGCTTGGGGTTGTCTCAAATAAAATAAAATAAAATAATATACATGTGACCAAAAAGCTCATGAAAAGATGCTTAGCATCACTAGTCATCAGGGAACTATAAATCAAAACCACAGTGAGATATCACTTCATATCCACTGGAATAGTTACTATCAAAAAAAAAACCAGAAAGTATTGGTGAGGATGTGGAGAAAGTGGCAACCTGCTGGTGGGATTATAAAATGGTGCACTGCTATGAAAAATAATATAGAGGTTTCTCAAAAATTTTAAACTCAGGCTCGGCGCCTGTAGCTCAACCGGCTAAGGCGCCAGCCACGTACACCTAAGGTGGCGGGTTCGAAT